ATCTTAAATCCCTAAGGTTTTTAACTTAAACCTTCTATTTTATTTTGTGTTGTATTTTTAATAACTTTATTCTTTTAGTAATAATAATTTTACTTGAGTGTTCCTTAGTAGATTTAGCTTGGGCCCTTCCCCTTTAAAAAATAATTTAAAAAAACCAAACATGTTTACTCATGTTTTATCCACGGCATGTCAGCTGCTCCTATTCTTCTAACCTGATCCTTGTGCTAGTGTAATGCATTTCAAATGAAAATATTGGAAACCTATTGGGCATGTTTGGCACTCAGCCAACTGGATGCTTCTCAAAGAGAAGCATTCACAGCATTTGGCTGCATCATACTGTGCCTAATTACCTTGTACATGAAGACTTTAAATTATGTAAAGTTTTCAACAGGACTGCCACTGTAATATGACATGTTATACCAAAATGTAAACTCTGCTGTTTTCTTAAAACTGCAATGTTTTATATTGCCACACAAAAATGACAGGGTCTAGGTAACAAAACCACTTAATTGACATGAAGTGGTATTGGTTATTCTAGTGTCCCTTTAATATTACTACTCCATGGACAAAATCGTCAGAGTTTAATAACTTTGTTAAGGAATTACTAAAGAACCCACAATATATTTGTTTGTTTTTCAATCTGATTATATGATATATATATATATATATATATATATATATATATAATATTTAATGAACATGTGCGTTGAATTTGTTACCATATAAACCAACAATACAGCAAAATAGGTGGACTTGTATCATATTACATTACCAGGGTTATTCGCTGAATTGTGGGTTTAAAATGAAAAAGTAAAAATTAGGAAATTGAGAAAGAATCTCAAATATTAGGCGAAAATAGATGAGCTGGGTGAAAGCAGAGTTAGATTTTCTTCCTGTTTTGCTATTTTGGCCTAACAAAAACATAGAACATAGATAGAAACATAGAATGTGTCATCAGATAAGAACCATTCGGCCCATCTAGTCTGCCCAATTTTCTAAATACTTTCATTAGTCCCTGGCATTAATCCAAGATTAGTGATTAACTGTGATGGTAATTACACCACTTTCAGACTTTATACCATGATGAAACTGTTAGATATGGTATTATATCTCTCATTGCAATTTTAGTTTTTATCATTGGGGTTTTCATGTTATTCCTGACATAATATTGTAAAAACTCTACACAGTTTTTCTTGTTGGTGTCTGTTGTCAAACTGTACATTTCTTGTTTTGCAGACATGGTCGAGATGATGCTTATGCAGAATGCACAAATGCATCAGATCATTATGCAGAATATGATGCTAAAAGCACTGCCCCCTCTTGCACAGCCTCCAACCAGCACACCCCAACCACCAGTCCAGCCACACCAGGTACTGGTTTCGGATTCTTCTTCATCAGTGGTGGCTCTTTTTTCTCAAAGAGTTTATTTCCCCTTTCCTCTTTTCTTTTTCTTTTATTTTTTTATGAAGGTATACACTTCTTTTCATCTGGTGTAAATGTACTAATTTGGGTAGGGCCTCTTACAGGAAAATAAAGAAAGTTAGAAATTGGGGTCACCAAACATGATACACTGATCTGCGTCACCTAATACACTTTTTTTTTTTTTAAATGTTGTATTTTGTGTTGCGCATAATAATACAAACAATAATAATACAAACGAGCTTGGGGTGCCCCAACAGCAGTCCTCAAGCATAGCTTCATGTACAACATTTTGGGTAAATGCACATTTTTTCTATTTTTTTAAAATATGATTTAAACAATATATTCAAGACATGAGTTAACTTTTGAGTACAGACATGTGGTAAGAGTACTAATAAGAGCAGAGCCAGTCTGGAGAGAGGGACCAGATGACGCAGCTCGCTGTGATGAGGTAAGTAAGGTCGCCACGAGCGGCGCGGGGGCAGGGGACCTGACAATAGGTGAGTGAGTGTCAGCTAGAAAATGGGCAATGGGACCTAGGCTGTATTTGTGAAAAGCAGACAGAGTTATGGGAAATAAGTCCACAGTCACTCGATGTCAGCAACTGGTAAATCCATGGATGTACAGGAACCCTTCAGGCTTTGGGACCCAGGTGAGTGTCAGCAGATCGAAGCAGAGGCCTGGGACAGAGCCCTCCGTGACCCCTCTGCCTTGTTGCTTGGCTCAGGCTTGGTCTGCGACGGCTAATTTTGGTGTCCTCACTGCCGGTACCATTGTGGATACCCGGTGGGGCTTTGAAGCCTGGAGATAGCGTGGGGGAACCCACGGGTCCGGTGAAATCGCAGGTCGTGTGGGAGTTCCAGCGCTGGGCTGTGTTGGTGTCCTCCTGTGTGCTAGCTCTATGCTGGAGCAGTGTGTGCTTCCCACTTCGCCGCCATGTTGGAGCACCTTGCGCTGTTGGAGCCAGGGTCTCCCGTTTCAGGCAAAGAGTCTGCTCTTGTGGGGAGTAGGCACTCGATTGTCTGGGTAGAGGTTGCTGCATTCTCAGCCCCAGTTTGCGCCAGAAGGTAGCGAAAGATATGTCCAGTCTGGACATGATATCTTGCATGTCCCTTGAGTTGTCAGGGGACCACGTTGTGTGTGTCATCTTAGGGGAGTCGGATAATTTAGCTTCAGCCCACGTGGTTTTGCCCCGTGGTCTTTTTTGAGCGAGGTAGTCTCCCAGAGGTGGACCGGGATCACCCCCGCCGGACCAGTGGGGGGGGGGGGGTTACGGGGCGCCTGTATAGTGCTGGATGCCGTTGGGCAACTCCAGGCCGGGAGATCGGCCACCTCTACCACCTGGTGTGCTCTTGGTCGCATGTTCTGAGTCGTGTAATAGATTAGCTCTTGTCAAGTTTTTGACCCCTGCAAGGATTGTCAGCTTGGGTACGTTGCAGGATGCCAGGTACGTTGCAGGATGCCAGCCAAATCATGCTTTTTAAGGCCAAAAACAGCTTTTTAATCAGTAGAGGAGAGGAGCTCTATCAAAACACTTCTCTCCACCATGCCAGTCAGGCCCCTTTCCTCTATTCTGTACTTTTCTTGATTGTTGAGTTCCTTATCTGTATTTTTATGTTCTTAGGATTCACAATTTGCTAATCCTGTAATTATGAGAGCTGAAAAGATTAGACCGTCCTCTGTGCATCATCACCACCACTACACCCCTCCTAATCAGCCACCTCTACCACCTACCATGCAACCAGGACACGGATATCCTATGTGGTCACATATGATGCCTTCAAATCACATGGGACAGATGGGTGGATTCCCCCCTGCCATTCACCACGTGACAGGCCCAACCTCCACACTACCTGCATTCAATACGTGAGTTTTTAACAGATATCCCCTTTATGTATTGCGCTTTAATCTATTTGTTCATCCCTGTCATTTAGGAACTACCATCCCCATTTTTTATTTCCCTGATTTTCCACTCACATATTCTCTCCCAGGTGCAGTAACAAATTTTGTCTTCCACAGACTTCCCAGTGGCTTATGATACAGTGAGCTGACAGAGGACAAAGGTAAGAGTGGATTACATATATATTTTCAGGTACCTTCTCCCCATTACACAAAAACAAGCATACACGCACAAATTATAGTCAACGCTCACAGTAGTAATCATGTCAGCTGGGTGGGACAACTAGTGAGTGAGCATTATGAGATGCAAGGAGATGTAAGGTATTAATAGCTGGGGTAAGGACAGACAAAAATGTCGGTAAGGGGTTTAAGAAGAGGCACACAAGAGGGTAAGGATGGTAAGGTGAGACACACAAGGATGTAGTTTAAGTAAGGAGAGAGAACAATTTTAGGGGCCAACAGATAATTACATAACCTAGATATGCCTCTGATTTGCCTTACACACTACATATTTATATCCATAGATATAGATATATATAGAGAGAGCGTGCTACCTTCTTGTATTGATATGCTTTCTTTTGCTTTTATTTCTGACAGATCAAAAGAGCATAGTGCAAAAAATTTGAATGAAGAATATACAGCGCTTATACATGATCCACGTGTTCAGCTGAAAGTACACACGCAACATATGCACCATTTCCCTGGATAAGACAGATTCTGGAACAAGCTACAATAACATCATCATGTTATGAAGCTGACACATAGGAGCTGGGGGGATGTAATTCAATTTCTCTCAGTAACCAAGACTGACTTATCAGTATACATCTGACCACTTAATTACAGATCCTAGCTAGCACTGCAATATCTTGATTGGGTATATTTTATGACTCATTATTTTGTAATAAAATTAACCAGATAAAGATAACAATTATGTTAATTTTGTATTTTTTGTAAATTTAATCCATTAAAGTTTTTCTAACTAAATATTACTTAGCATCACCACCTCCGTTGGTAATTACAAACAAATTTGCGCTTCTCTTTTCAAATCAATATTTAATTTATTTTTGTCAGATATAAAAAGCTCTATAACGAGTGATGGTATAGTGGCAAATACAATAGGGGAGAAAAATAGGGGAGCATTTGCTAAAATGGGGGTGCTATAAAAACCTCCATTATCACCACACCAATGATTAAATCCAAAAAAAGAAACCGTCCAGTCAGCACTCTCCAAACATGTGAAGTGCTAATTTGCTTAGTTCATAGCAAAAAGCAGACAAATTGCAATGTTTTGACTAACATAGTGTTTGTTAGACTTGATAAAGATTACTGTATTCATTGAAACATTGCCATTTGTGTGTGTTCTGCTATGCACTGAATAAAATGACAACATTTTTATACAGTGCTGGGCTCTTTCTTTTGTTGATGTTCTATAGACAAATGATCTCATCATAACATCCAAATAAACAGATGCAAAAAAAAAAGGGAAAAATTTACATTTAAAGGAAAAATGTTCATTAATGTATGCTTCTCTTCCATCTGAAAATAAAGATTTTACGATAATTGTTTTAAAAAATAAATAAATACATTAATAAAATCTGATTTTTATATATTATAAGATTTTCACTTCATGAGTTTTAATCAGAATCTGTAAATCTACTGAAACTACAATATTTAAAGAAACTCTCCAGGCTAAATTTATATAATTCTTTTAAATGTATTATTAATATTTTATCATTTATGTATAGCACCAGCAAGTTCCGTAGAGCTGTACAAGGGGTAGACTAACAGACGTAATTGTAACCAGATAAGTTGGACGCACAGGAACAGAGAGGTTGAGGGCCCTGCTCACTGAGCTTACATGCTAGATTGTGTGGGGTAGGGTACAGTGACACAAAAAGTAAAGGTAGGGGAATCAAAGAAGATTGCTAGAAACGTATCCACTAATGACTTACTAGGATATTTTTGACAGTTGCAGGAGAGGAATCAGGGTACAGGGATGAAAAGCTGTTAACAGTTTAATTGATGAGCTTTCCTGAAGACGTGAGTTTTCAATGATTTTTTTTTTAAAGAAATGGAGACTGGGTGAAAGTCTAACGGAGAAGGGAAGGGAGTTCCACAGAAAAGGTGCAGCCCTGGAGAAGTCTTGAATGCGAGCATCAAAGGTAGGAGTACTGGGGGGCGTGGCCTAACCTCGGAGCGGGCTAGACGTGGCGGGGTGAAGCTCTGCTCCGACGACGCTGTTAAATAGCTTCTTACAGCACTTTTTCGGAAGCTGAACACCCTCCTAGGATGGAGAAACGAAACCCCAAGAAGAGCTCCAAAAAAGGTACGGAGTCTGCAGCCTCGGTCCTCGACCTGATGCTGGGAAGTAAGGGGGGCCCCTGCAGAGGCACAAAATGGCACGGGGAAGGCCGCACTCCTTCCCGGACCCCGCCGCGCAGTGGGGAGGAGGTGGAACCGACCCAGGGAGATACAGCAACCATATTAGCAAAGCTGGCAGAATTAAAAGTATATCTAGCTGGGGAAAGTGAGCGGTCCACGACAGTCCTGCAGACAGAGCTGCAGGCGCTTGGCGCCAGAACGGGGCAGCTAGAGGAGCGGATGGAGGAGACTGTACGGGCGCATAATGATGTAGTGTCACAAGTAAACACTCTCACCACGCGCCTATATGAAGTGGATTTGGCGCTGGAGGATGCAGCAAACAGATCCCGGCGCAATAATCTGCGGGTCAGGGGGCTACCTGAAAGAGAGGGAGAGGGACCCCTGGCAGATCTCCTCCTCACCATCTTTAAGCCAATCCTACCAGAGATCCCAGACAGCCAGTGGCAGCTTGAGAGGGCGCACCGGGCACTAAGGACCAGGCGCCCCGACGGAAACCCGCCCAGAGACATCATTGTCCGCTTTCTGCACAATACCACCAAAGAAGCCCTGCTGCGCAAAAGTAGAGATACGGAGATTAAATATGGAGGAGCCACCATTGCCCTGTATCAGGATCTTGCGCCCAGCACACTCCAGCGCCGGCGGGAGTGGAAGCCTATTACGGAGGCCCTACGTTGGGCTAGCATACGCTATGCATGGGGCTTCCCCTTCCGTCTCATGGCGTTTAAGGATGGCCGGGTGCATGTGCTACTGCCAGGGGGAGACCCTAGGCGTCTCTTTGCTGATTTGGGACTGGCGCCCCCTTTGAATATCCAGACGGTGCCGATGCCCATGGAGGAGTTGCAGCACCTGCCAAGTGAGTGGCGGGCAGCAGGAACTGGAGGCCACTGAGGCCAGAACAGGATGCCGTATACCAGGAGACCACCACTCACATGCGGTAGACATGCCGGGCGATATGTTGAAGCCAGGTACCGGGCATAGGACAGGTGGGAGGAGGCTGTGGGTGAGAGAGTTACCCTATAAGGGGGAGGGTATGCACCTGCTGGAGGGCTTAGGCATTAGGTGGGGAGGGCTAAGGGGGATGGGAAGGGAGGTCTGGGATTTAAGTCCCCGAGGAGGGAACGCTACCCTGGACTGTGCAAATCCACTGGACTGAGGGGATGAGGACGCTCGGAGTACACAGAGCGGAGGGACAAGAGGGGCACCCCAGTTATGGGGGACAGAGAGTATGGGGCTTCCGGGGTAGAGGGAGACCCTGAGGCGAGATGGCAAGGGGTACCACAAGGCCCCGGTGCATGGAGACGGGGGGGAAGCGCGGCCCAGGTGTCCCTCATGCCCAGGGAGGCAGTGAACTATCAATCTCCCCGCGGGGGGCGGAGGGGTGAGGAGTGAACCGGGAGAGGTGGGCCTCCCACATGGCAGCTGGGGGACAAGGAGGGAGGTCTCGAAGGCATAGGGCCCAGGGAAGCGGTTGGACTTAGCAACCTGTTGGGAGCTGGTAGTCTGGAGGTACTAGCCCGGGGAGACGGATCAGGGGAGGGGCAGAGGGGACTGCTCAAGGGACTTTAGGATGGTGGGGATCAGACGGAGACGATGGGTTCGACATGGACGGCCCACAGGCCCTAGGGGTGAAAACACCCGGGGGGAGCAGCACAGGAATCCGGGAGGATGGGGGCTGAGCGGAGGCAGAGGGGGGACGAGGACAGGTGGTACTTAAAATATGCAGAGGATGGGTAGCGCTCCTGACTAGGGGCAGACCCAGGTAAGGCTATCACCTTGGGGGCAGGGGCTTCACTAACAGTTCTCGGGGAGGGAGGGAGAAGTATCTAGGCCTTAGAGGGGTAATCTCCAGCCAGGTAGGACGGTATATAGGGGACTAGAGGAGACCCTGGAATTAGCCTCCCCCGGTATTGGTTATTTTGCAAAGGGAGCCTAGAGAGTGAGGGTGGGAAGGGTATGCGATATCCAGGGCTCGGGGTAGGCCCGAGGGAGAGGAAGTTAGAGCCGATAGGTGAAGATAAATATCTGGGGTTATAGTTGCTAATAGAGATTGGGTATTATCGGGACAGGGTGTTACACAAATCGATCACACTAGTAATTTCCAATAGCGTTACAGCGTTAAACGGATTTAGGTACTTGGACCCACGACGCTCGCGGATGCAGTGCGTGGGTGACCACAGGGGTCGTACTCCCCAATCACACCTGGCGATTAGTAAGACCAGGAATTTTGTTGTGAGCCTATCAGTGCGAGACATGAGCATGTTACCTAATTCTTCCTTTTTCGTTTTCTCTCTTTTTCTCTCTACTTCTTCGGGGCGGGGGCGCTGGGAGAGGGGTGGGGGGGGGGTCCCGGGGGACCGGGGGGGTCTGCTTCCATAGCATGGGTCTTGGAAGGTTATCATGACGGTTAAACTTACTTCGCTGAATGTGAGGGGCCTTAACGCCCCGACCAAACGGCGACTGCTCTTTCAAGAGCTGAAGAGAACGAAAGCTGATATTGCTTTTATTCAGGAGACCCATTTCCCTAAACTGGGACGCTTCCCTCTGAGGGATCATACCTATTCGGCCTCGTATGAGGCCAGAGCTCACCGGAAGCGCAATGGGGTGGCCATCCTAGTGCGCAGTAGCTGCCCACTGCAGGTTACTGGGACGGAGGCAGACGGAGAGGGACGCTATATCATTGTGTCAGGAGTGCTTTACTCCCATACCCTCCACTTGGTGAACGTGTACGCTCCCAACTGTCCAGACCCGGACTTCTGGACCACTTTAGGAGATAAGCTCCAGAAGCTACCAAAGGGCATGATTATGGTAGGAGGGGATTTTAATACAACGCCGAGCCCGGCAGTAGACAGAAGTACCCACAAAGGTGTGCCCCGGTCGCAGGGCAGGGGGAGACAAGATAAACTGCTACAGGAGTTTATCACAGGTTCAGGTTTAGTGGATATTTGGAGGGCCCATCACCCGAGTGCGGTTGACTATACTTATTACTCGGCCCCACATGGCACCTATTCCCGAATCGACTTCTTTTTAGTCAATGGTAGTTGTTTCGCCCGGACCACGGACTCGACGATAGGGACCATTACGTGGTCTGATCATGCTGAGGTTACAATAACCCTTGGGAATCTATGTGCAGCGACCCCCTGGACGTGGAGGCTTAATACCTCATTGCTGCGGGACCCCACAATTACAGAACAACTACATAATGAGATAGTGGAGTTCTTTAAGGTTAATGACACACCTGCCGTTAGTGTACCCACGATCTGGGCAGCCCACAAGGCGGTAATAAGGGGAACCCTTATACGCATAGCAACAAGCCGGAAAAAATCAAAAACACAAACCCTAGAGAGGCTCCTTAAGGATTTGAAGGGGGCAGAGCAGAGACACCAGACGCTTTCCACAGGAGACACATTGAGAAGGGTAGAGACTATTAGACACGAAATACGAACCCTGTTATTAGACGATGTAGCTAGGTCCCTGACGTGGACTAAACGATTTTACTACGAAAAAAGGGATAAAATGGACACTCTGTTAGCCAGGACTCTACGGCCTCGGCAGCGCCGTACGCACATCACATCCATCAGACATGCTGACGGGTCCTTGAGGACTATGCCTAGGGAGATAGCAGAAGTCTTTGGGGACTTCTATCGGACATTGTATAATCACACACCCGCGGACGTCCAGGGAGGCACCCAGGAGGTGGACCGCATCGATAGATATCTAGTTGGCCTGGGGCTACCGAAGCTACCGGGAGGGGTCGGGGCACAACTGGCAGCTGAGATAACGGACGAGGAGGTGGACAGGGCGATCGGGGGGCTGGGGGGAAATAGGGCCCCGGGACCGGACGGGTTTGATGGCACCTACTATAAGACATTTAGGGAGGAGCTGGTACCCCATATGCGAAAACTTTTTAATCATTTTCGGTCTGGGGGCACTCCGACCCCGGACATGACCTTAGCTTCAGTGGTACTGCTACCTAAACCGGATAAGGACCCGCTGAGGCCTGAGAGTTATAGGCCCATTTCCCTTATAAATCAGGACATGAAGATCCTAGCTAAGATACTGGCCGAGCGACTCTCCCCATACTTGACACATCTTATTAACCCTGACCAAGTGGGTTTCATCCCTGGCCATCAATTGTTTGAAAATACCCGTAGAAATATTGATCTCATCTGGAAACAAACGATGACGAATACACCTACACTGGCAGTCTCTATTGATGCTGAAAAAGCTTTCGATAGAGTGCGGTGGCAGTATATGTTTACGGTGCTACGACACTTGGGTTTCCCCGAGGAATACATTACCGTGGTACAGGCCATGTATTGTAACCCTCGAGCACAGGTGCTGGTCTCGGGAGCGCCGCTTTCCCCCTTTCCCCTCCATAATGGGACCAGGCAGGGATGCCCACTGTCCCCGTTGCTCTTTATATTATCCTTGGAGCCCTTTCTCCAGGCGCTACGGAAACACCCGGGATTCACGGGGTGCGGGTGGGGGGCAGGGAATTTTTAGTAGCGGCTTATGCCGATGACGTCCTGCTGACGCTTACGAGACCTAGGGAATCTTTGACAGCATTGAGGGAAGTCCTGGCACATTATGGGGAACTCTCTGGATTTAAAGTGAATATGGAAAAATCGAGCGCGCTCCCCATCAGGATGCCAAGAGACGAGGTAGCCCAGATACAAAGAGAGCATCAGCTAAAGATAGAGGCACGCTCAATTAAATATCTAGGGATTCAATTAACCGCCGATCCTACCGAATTATATGCGAGTAACTACGCCCCGTTATGGCAAGCATTGATGAGGGACATGGACAGGTGGATTGACAAGCCGATCTCTTGGATAGGGCGGATCCACGCTGTCAAGATGAACGTCCTGCCAAGGGCCTTGTTCCTCTTCCAGGCTCTTCCGGTCCCTTTGAATAGGGCGCGCCTCACCCCGCTCCAGCGGGCGATAGGGAATTTTATATGGCAGCATAAGAGACACCGCATATCCAGATATATATTACATAGACCGAGGACGAGGGGGGGGACTTGGCCTCCCTGACCTGTACCACTACTATCTAGCGGCACAACTGGCGCAAGTTGCACTTTGGCACTCACCTCCGGACGAACGGAGATGGGTGGATATAGAGTCACTTATGGTAGGGTTGGACCTACCTGTCAGGATCGTGACAGGGATCCAATACGCAGAGTGCGGACAGGAGGAGGTACGTATACCGGACCTTAGAATGGCCGGACTAACGTATAGACAAGACAAGAATGGTCAAAAGGAAAGCCGAGGTCGAGGGAGCCGGAGGACAGGTAAGCGAGGAACAAGCCGGGTCTTAAGGAGAGGAGAGAGAAGCAGGACGAAAGTACAAGCCAGGTCAAAACCGAAAAACACAAAGAGAGAAACGCGCTGAGTGACTAGCAAGCTAGAACCACGACAGGGCAATGAGTAGTAGTAAATGCTTCCCTTAAATACCCTGTCACCTTAATTAATGACCACGCCCCCAAAAGGTCCAGAATTGCGGTTTCCGGCGGTTCACGTGATGATGACGTCATGACGTCGATGATTAGCCGTCGCGTCATAAAAGGGGGAGGAGCTAGCGCGGCCGGCGCGAAAACGGCCGAAAATGCCGAAATGCTAGGGCATAGGAGCCCTTTAGGAAGAGAGACTGGCCTCCTCAGAGGTAGGTAACATGACACTACCTCAATTTGTCATGTGGATACCTAAAGAACACAGACCACGGATCGGGGTCACCTGTCCGGCGGTGCTGAATTCTCTACGGATTTGGGACGCATGCAGTAGCAAATATGGATTGGCATCCCGTCCCTCGCCCCTGATGCCAATATTACGAAACAGGGAGTTCGCCCCGGGGATGGAGGCAAGGAATTTCAGGAATTTAGAACAGGCAGGTCTGCAGAGACTGTGTCATCTCTACCGGGGCTCGGATCTAGTTACTTTTGACGAACTTAGACATGACAGACACCTCACACCGACGGACTTTTTCAGATATCTGCAGATAAGAGACTACGCCAGACAACCCCATATACAGGCCATAGCGCAGAGCCCACTGACGTTCTTTGAATCCATGTGCAAGTCAGAGTGTATACCGAGGGGACTCTTAACGAGACTGTACGCGCATCTCTGCACAGCTGCGCGGGAGTGGGGGGAGCTGACCTACATTACACAATGGGAGCGGGACCTGGGGGAGGAACTGGAGGGAGAGGAGTGGCAAGAGATTTGGGAGGCTGGTAGAACTACCTCGATATGTGTAGCATTACAAGAACAGGCCTTTAAAATGATGTTCAGGTGGTACATGACCCCAGTACAACTCTTTAAAATGCATAAAACCATCACGGATGACTGCTGGAGGGGGTGTGGGCATAAAGGAACCTACTTGCATATGTGGTGGGGATGCCCGAAGCTCAAGGGCTTCTGGGAGGCCGTGAAGGACCTCCTGACCCAGGTTTTCTCTAGGGCCCCAGATTTAGACCCCTGGGTGGATCTCCTCAGCAGGTCGGTCGACGGCTGGACGAGACGGGAACAGACTCTACTTCATAAACTCACCCTGGCAGCACGGAGAGCAATAGCATACACATGGCTAAATCCGGAAGCCCCACCAATGGCTAGTGTATACTCACGGATAAGAGAGGTGAGACTTATGGATGACTTGACAGCTAGAATATGAGGATCCTTGGGAACGTTTCGGAAGGTCTGGGGACCTTGGGATGAGAGCCCGCTAGGGGGATAGGAGGAACAGGGAAACTAGGGGGCAGTGGGGGGGAGAGGGGGTCTCGCGCCCCGTCTCTTACCCGGGCCCACCCTCCCTGGCAGCCTTCTCCTTGTCGCCTTATTGCCCCGTCAGACTTATTTCTTTACTCTTCTCTTTCCTTTCCTTTACTCTTGTCCTTACTTTCTATTGTGGTTCGCAGCCGGGACACTTACTGGAGGGGTACGGTGCCGAACTACGAAGCATGACTTTGTTACTTTCAAGCTATTTTGTACTCTGTTACACAATGTGCTGTATCTGTTAACATAAGTGAGTGTTCTGAATGGCTTGTACTCGCTACCCAGGTTATACACGCGTAGAGGCTAAAAGAGGCGCACATATATGAAATCAAATTAAAAACGGGGGCGACGCCACTATTTAAGGACTTTTCGAGTTCACAAGACATGGGTTGTTTAATTGTTACAGGTTGTTTTTTATGAAAATACATAACTTTACTGACACTAGCTTCTGATTATATGTATACGTGTTAATGGAAGCATCTGAATTGTGTTTGTATACCTTGCTGTGGTGTCGAACCTTGACATAAAGAATTATAAAAAAAAAAAAAAAAAAGTAGGAGTACTGAAAAGGATAGATGTATTCAGCAGAGCATAGGGGTGTAGACGGGATATACATGTCTTATTAGGTAGGATAGGTAGGTTCAAGCAGCATTATGTAGAGACTTGTAAGCAAGCACCAGAATCTTAAATTGAGCCCTATATCTAACTGAAAGCCAATGTAGGGACTGACAGAGGTGGGAGGCGTGGGAGGTGCGGGCAAACAGGAAAATGAGCCTTTCAGCCGCATTCATTATAGATTGCAGAGGTGCAAGTTGGGAACACTTAAGACTACGGAGAAGGGGATTGCAGTTGTTAAGGCGAGAAAGAACAACGGCATGAACCAGCACCTTAGCCGCGTCCGGTGCTAAATATAGGGGCTATATTTTTGATGGAAGCGGCAGGATTTGGCGATCGACTGGACATGAGGGCCGAAGGAGAGGCCGGAGTCGAAGAGAACACCTCGGCAGTGAGCTTGCAAGGTAGAGGTGATGGTAGCGCAGTTGACTTGGAGGGTTGTACAGATAACATTTAAAAAGTATGGAAAAACAACTAATCTAAAATAAAAGCCAATAAAAAGATTCACATTTATAGTTGCAATAAGTTTTGTGAAAAAAGCTGGAAAAAAGCTTTTAACCCCTTTTCTCGCCATCCAGCCCGGCGGTATGTTTTCCTGGCACTATAGTGGTCCTTTAAGGTGCATGTGTAGAGACTTGTCCACTAGTGTTGATTTGTATTTCATTGTGTCTGCCTCGCTCATGTTTTATGATTGTTTGCTCTTGCCCTTGGCATGCATCATTCTTTCTTCTTTAGCTGCATCATCATATCTGCATACATTCATGCTAGGATTCACCACTTTCTCTTATTGGGATATATGTACTAAGCGCACCATTTACATGGGAGAGTTCTGTCGTTGCTTTAGCAGTTTACCTTTAAAAGGGAACTGTTTCTTTGGCTGGGTGCTTGCCTATTACCTACATGGGTCCCAAGTGTGGTGTTTCTGTTTCAGTTTTGTCTTGCTCTATAATTTCAAGTCTCATGTCCTGATCATGTTGCATATTCTCCAAGTCAAATAAATATGGTTTTTCGAGGCACGTTTCAGAGCATAGAGTCGCAGCATGATCTGAAGCTAGTTGTGCCAATGCCAAACTGGAGGCTTACCGATATTGCTTCTATCTGTGACTTTTCTTATCTTCATGTACTTTATCTATGTACTGACTTAGCATTTGACTCTGAACTTGCTCCATTCCATATACAGAGCTTGTTGTGCTTGTGGTTAAATTACTGGCACAGCCAGAGTGTGAGAATTATTGCTCTGCACCAGGCCTGTCTTGGCCAATACTCTACATATTGAGCTCCTTCTACCATCTGTTCTAAGTCTATCCTGTTAAAGCTTGGAGATAGGAGCTGCACTCAATCTCAGCAGCCACCCGGTGCTCCGGAGCAGGACCAGCAGTCCCACAACGATAAGGAAAACAAAAAAAAATTTTCCAGGCAATCAAGGTGTTGACAATGACCCCTTGGCAGGTCAAAACTTTGCTGCTATTTTCTGTTCCATTAAAACTGCTTGCAGCTTGAACACCTTGAATGCCTGGAGATTTAGCCGCGTTCGTTATAGAACTAAATTCGGCATTAGGACTTTGTGGGTTCCCAGTAACCTCCGCGGGACTTAGCCACGAATGTTATTGAACGGTTTTCAGCATGAGGTGAGCATGAGCACCCCGTATTGCGGCTACAGGAGCTCCCGAAATTTGACCGGCCAAAGCACCAAACGCCGTGGAACTGTTTTGGGCATAGGACCAAGAGTGCGGCCGGTCAGAACTTTTAACACGGTGGCGTTTCCCCTACACTGCATGGATCTGAGCGCTGTTTGGATAACTTGAGCCCTTAGATCAGGGCTATTTGGGGATTTATTTTTTGTGGGGTTATTTTATATTTTTATGATGTTTTGGAGTATTTTTATATTTGTATGTTTGCAACTCTGTTCCTGGGAGATAATTAGCTTACCGGTCTTTAACGCAACTATCTCCCAGGCACAAAGATCTTTAGGAGGGGCTTGCATTGTACTGTGTGGAGACCCCCTGCTGGGGGTTGTGTATATAAGCAGGCAACTTGGTCATAATAAAACAGTTCATTTTGTACCCTTCATCAAGTCTAGGCTGATGTTTGGGGTGGCTCAGAGTTATAATCACTGCTTCACTTTGGGACCTGGAAGACCTTAACGAATATAGCCAGTCGGAGTATAGGGGATACGTTACATAACTCTTCTGGCTTTTTACACAACATTAATACCGGCAAAGCAGGTAAGTAGCCTGTGCATTGCTATGGAAACACACGTAGAGCTGGTGACTTTACCTCATTGATATCAAATGAGAGAAGATTACAATATTAGCTGTTTAAATACTTTGTTATTTAAAGAAACAATAAAACATCTATTTAAGTTCAGTTTAATATAAAAAATATTTACAAATATTAACATTATGAGTGCAAGGTCTTAAAGTATGTAGAGTACTCGATGCTGCCATTCATTTCCAAATATAATAGGGCCTAGTTTTCTTTAAAAGAATTAAAAAAAAAAAAAAAAAAAACAACCTGAAAGAAAGACACATTTTGAACTTTGAAATATACAATGTCTTTCACAGTTTCATGTGTTTAGAAACCATGTAAGTAAAGTATCTTGACATATGGATAAGATGTCCAAGTTATGGTTACAAATAGTTTGTAGTCAGAGGCTTCAAGGTGTATCCGGTCACTTTATTTATCTCCGTCAGAATCTCTCTTTCTTTTTCAAACATCTGTTGAAGAGAAATATGGTTTACATCCACAATGCTACTGATCACCCCTTGTCAGATTCAGCTCAGTAATGACAGGTGCAAGTGTGTGTCGCAGGGTCAGATTAACATAGGGGCTGATGGAGCTGCAGCTCCAGGCCCATGAAATAGGCCCATTTAAAAAAAACAAAAAACATACACTACTCTTAGGTTTACCACCTGACTGGTATTTTAGGGCACAGCTGGTATTTGAGGCTGCCTGGCCGTGTTGGTATTGCAGTAATACTGGCAATACAAATGCAAATATTTTTCTCAGTATAATCGGAGATTACTCTGCAATACCAGCACTGGCCAGTAGGGGTCACTGTGTTAGAGAGAGGCAGGGATAGGAAGTTACAGCATATCCCTGCCTCTCTCTACTCAATGACCACCGGGGAAGCAGCTACACAGCACAGAGAGTCCAGACAGCAGCTCCCAGCTTGCAAAGACAGACTACAGCTCAGGTATGTGAAGGATAGGGGGGAAAGGCATCAGGGAGACATGGGGACACAGACACTAGGGGACACATGGGGACACTGAAACACTAGGGGACACTGGGAGACATGGGGACACTGGGAGCAAGGACGTATTAGCCGTGAGGCAAACAAGGCATTTGCCTTGGGCGGCATTTTTCAGGGGGCGGCAAAAAACGGTCAACAGTCAAACACACACACACACACACACACACAATCACTCACATTAACACTTTTTTATTTAACCGCCCCCAGCCTCCTTACCTTTGAGAATGCTGGGGGGGTTCTCTCTCTCCCTGGGGTCCAGTGGCTGCCGGTCGGGCTGATGGGCTGGCTACTGGGCGGGCGGCTGGCGAGGGAGCACTTCCTCTGAGCGGTCTGCTCAGCTCCCTCGCGCGCCGCAGAGTGAGGCTGGGAGCCGGAATATGATGTCATATTCCAGCTCCCAGCCTCACTCTGTGGCACGCGAGGGAGCTGAGCAGACCGCTCAGAGGAAGAGCTCCCTCGCCAGCCACTGGGAGACATGGGGGGACACTGGGAGCAGGGACGTATTAGCCGCGAGGCAAACAAGGCATTTGCCTTGGGCGGCATTTTTCAGGGGGCGGCAAAAAACGCTGGGCTGGCGGGCGGCGCTGGCTGATGGGGGGGCGGCTGGCGAGGGAGCACTTCCTCTGAGCGGTCTGCTCAGCTCCTTCGCGCACCGCAGAGTGAGGCTGGGAGCCGGAATATGCTGTCATATTCCGGCTCCCAGCCTCACTCTGCGGCGCGCGAGGGAGCTGAGCAGACCGCTCAGAGGAAGAGCTCCCTCGCCAGCCGCCCCCCCCATCAGCCAGCGCCGCCCGCCAGCACAGCGTTTTTTGACGCCCCTGAAAAATGCCGCCCAAGGCAAATGCCTTGTTTGCCTCGCGGCTAATACGTCCCTGTTCCCAGTGTCCCCATGTCTCCCAGTGTCCCCCCATGTCTCCCAGTGGCTGGCGAGGGAGCTCTTCCTCTGAGCGGTCTGCTCAGCTCCCTCGCGCGCCACAGAGTGAGGCTGGGAGCCGGAATATGACATCATATCTGCGGCGCGCGAGGGAGCTGAGCAGACCGCTCAGAGGAAGTGCTCCCTCGCCAGCCACCCGCCCAGTAGCCAGCCCATCAGCCCGACCGGCAGCCACTGGACCCCAGGGAGAGAGAGAACCCCCCAGCATTCCCAAAGGTAAGGAGGCTGGGGGCGGTTAAATAAAAAAGTGTTAATGTGAGTGATTGTGTGTGTGTGTGTGTGTGTCTGTGTGTTTGTGTCTGACTGTGTGTGTGTGTTTGACTGTGTGACTGTGTGTGTGTGTGTCTGACTGTGTGTGTGTGTGTGTGTCTGAGTGTGTCTGACTGTGTGTGTATTTAGAAGGTGGGGCAGAGGGGAGGGAGGTGCCTGAGTTTTGTCCTGCCTAGGGCAGCACAAAACCAGGATACACCACTGACTGGAAGACATGGGGACAATGAGACACTAGGGGACACTGGGAGAAATGGGGACGCTGAGATACATGGGGACACTGTGAGACATAAGGAGACACATTGGGACACAGACACTAGGGACACAGTGTCCCCATCTCTTCCAGCCAGTGTCCCTAGTGTCCCCATTGCTTCCAGTGTCTGTGTCCCTTATGTCTCTGTGTCCCCAAATGTCTGTATCCTCATGTCTCCCAGTGTCCCCATGTTTCTCAGCCAGTGTCCCTAGTGTCTGTGTCCCCATGTCTCCCAGTGTCCCCATGTCTATGTCCACAAGTGCTCCCAGTGTCCCCATGCCTCCCAGCCAGTGTCCCTAGTGTCTGTGTCCCCTAGTCTCCCAGTGTCCCCATGTATCCTAGTGACACGGGACACACAGACATGTTGACACTGGTAAAAATGGGGACATTGTGTTTCCATGTCTCTCAGTGTCCCTAGTGTCGTAGTTTCACCAAATGTCTGTTTCTCCATGTCTCCCAGTATCTGTGTCCACATGTATGTGTCCCTAGTGTCTGTGACCCCATTTCTCCCAGTGTCCCCAAATGTCTCAGTGCCCCCTTGTCTCCCAGTGTCCCCATGTATCCTAGTGACACGGGACACACAGACATGTTGACACTGGTAAAAATGGGGACATTGATGCCAGGCTGGCCTTCCAATTCTTTGGACAGACTTGCCCCCTTTTTGGGCATGTTCGCCCCTTTTGGCAGTTCTGGTCACATGATTCGCGTCAGTTGCCCACCCTTTTACTCCGCCCACTGACTTCCTGCTTCACTGGACACTGCTGTTAGGGGATATGGATTTGCTTGAAAGATGAAAGCATAAATTAGAGAGAGATTAGCATAGAGTATGTGTTTTCTTATAGCTGCATCCTTTGAGTTTCCCTCCAACACCATCTCCATCAGATACATGACGCTTGAGAGGTATGACTTGAGAGGTTTTTGGTCGATAAGATTCTGTAATTAGGCCCATCATAATTGTCAGCACCAGGCCCACTGGGCTCTTAATCTGGCCCTGTGTATGTGCAATCTTATGGAAAAACATAGGACTCTAGATGAGTAATTCAACAGGAACCTTCACAACCCTGAATAAAGCATTTTATTTTTTTTAAACTAATGAACCACATTGTACATGTAACATAACACTTTACACATAAAACATTTTATCATTGGGTTAGTGTTTGGCTTAATATACACGTATTTAATATGGACTGACCTGCCTCCATTCTTCCACATTGTCATGTCTGTAACCTAGAAGATGGCAGAAACCGTGCACAGCAGTCACCTGGCAGCGACACAAACATAGTTATTTAATGAGGTGTTCCTTTAAAAAGAAAATATGAATAAATAATTACGTATATTGGATAATTTTGGTTACAAGACAACCAATGAAGAGAAGCTTGAACAAGTAAAACTGATAACTAGAATCCAAGACAGACCATAAGTTGCAATAGGTAATTTTTCATTGAAAAATTGTAAATGGCAAGTTGGTCTAACCACAGAAAATAATGTTAAATGGGTGTTTAAATTGTAAATAGGAAACTAGGGGATGGAGATAACACAAGTGTGTGAGCATTGAGATCAAGAAGTCCAAAAGAAAACAAAAATACATTTGGAATTACACACAAATACACACTGCACACACACCCAAACTAAACTCAAACTTCATTCACACACTGACACTACACAAACACAACCACCCTGCAGTCAAAAACAGACAATTTACCAAAGTCAGAAATGTCAGGAATTGGCCAGGGAATTTAAAAATATAGGACACAATAGCTGAAGTGGAAAAACATTAGTTATAGAATTTATTTTTCCAATTTGTCTGTCATTATTGGTTTCCCCTTATGGCTTAAATCTTAAACACTTACAGTACAGGCACTGTTGAAATCATCTTCCATTTCTTGACACTGCTGGTATATGTATTCAACCCCAAGGTAAATGTCACCCAAATTATATTCATCCTTAAAGGATGGAACAGGTACAGAGCCAGCAGGCAGATCCTGTAAGCACAGATCAACATATACACAATTGAGTTTCTGGTCATATGCAGGCTATAAAATATGATTCCCTGCTTTGTTAGGGCACACAAAAAAATAAACATAAATAACTGCTAAATTGTTTTATCTTTAGAAAGTACGGATTATAAGCAGTGAATTTTCTGTAACAATGAGGTGGGACACTAAGTTTATTTTTTTAATTCTTGTGTATCTGCAACCAGATTTATGGGCCAGCATAAAAGATAACAATAAAAATACAAGTATTATTCAACATTGTCTTTCAAATAAGAAACACTGGAACAAAGTAAATCTCTACTATATTACGGATCAGTGTTATCATTCTCCTGGCCAGTATAGACCCAGATAAACATTGGTCAAGGGGAAATGTATCAGACTATGGGTAATTTGTATCAAGGCAAAAACATGTTCCCTTTTGGGGTAATGATCAATAATAAAGAATGCACACCTTGTAATACCAAGTATCAATCTATATTTATTAAATACAATCCATATACAAACTAATCACAAAAAACATAACAGTGACTTACTAGGCAATCAATATCCAAAAATATATTTACCACATTCATCAAGCCTACATGGGCAGAAACACGAGTCACAAAAAAACCCCCAAAGTTTCGGCTCCTCCTGGTAGCCTTTATCAAGCAGGTTTAACTACAGCTTAGATACCCTTGATAAAGGCTACCAGGAGGAGCCAAAACGTTTGGGGTTTTTTTTTGTGACTCGTGTTTCTGCCCATGTAGGCTTGATGAATGTGGTAAATATATTTTTGGATATTGATTGCCTAGTAAGTCACTGTTATGTTTTTTGTGATTAGTTTGTATATGGATTGTATTTAATAAATATAAGGTGTGCATTCTTTATTATTGATCATTTATTGTATTGGTATTTGAGGGAGTACTTTTAAGGAGTAGCACCCTAAATTGTTTTGAGGTTGTTTTAGTAAGTATTCTCTCCACGCTCTTTATATATTGTATGACCCTTTTGGGGTAATGTCATAAATAAGGAACAATTATCATAGATATCAGTAGACTGTATTTAAACATACAAAATCTTGTTGCAGAAGTGTGCTTGTTTTTCCATGGTAAATATTGTTTCTCAGTGGCAGTCTGCCATAGTGGACTGAAAAAAATTGCCAGTCGGGATAGCGGAGTGGAGCGCTACCTTGTGTAGGAAAACAGAGTATGTCGGTCTCAGGAGGTAGTACACTGCGTCTTTAATTTCTTACACCTTCTTATATCACAGATTGTATTTGAGAAGCAGTGAATTATAAATAATTAAAAAGCAAAAACTTTATGCCAGAAGATCCAAGTTAGGTGGAGACATTTTACTACTTGATGATTTTTACTAAAATATTGCAAATTCAGTTTGAGTGTGAACCAATCCTACTTCCCCTGGGGAAATGGCTTTACCCTTACAAGCTCTGCTTCAGCTGGGTAAAATATCCTAATATGACAACAGGACTGACATTTCTTATGGAAATGGACATTGGTCCTAGACGTACAGTTTCTGGGATTAGTATTTTTTTCTAGATGGTGTAGAATGGCATGTCAGCTCACAGAGGACACACAAATGAGGTTACCTCTCCTTAATAGAAATATGAGTTTACATGTACCTCATAAAACGGGAAAGAAAGTACATCTGTGGCTGTTTCCTTCCCTCTATATATGCTGTTGATTCTCCTCATCTTGGCATTGCTTGCACAGATCACAGCAATGTCAAAGCATTTCACTCCAAGGCAACTTCTGGCAATCTCCAGGCTAAGCCGTATGGGAGTCCTACGGACACTGACCACTCGTTGCACATTCCTCACAATGATGGACATTACCCTGAATGAAGAACATGTATATAAACACACAGTGAACATTTCTGTACTGACTCGCTCTGAAGCAGGTTTAACTACAGCTCTGGCAGTTGCAGAAATCGTATCCCAGTACTAATGAGCATTCACTGGCTGATTGCTCTCAGCCAATGTATGACATTCTGTGCATACAACTACGCACAACATTTTCATCTGCACATATAGATTCCAGGCACCACGACTACTTCAAATTACTTAAGTGGTTATGGTGCTTAAAGTAACTCTTTAACCCCTTAAGGACTGGACTGTTTTTGCAATGTTGTACATTTGCGACCAGGCATATTTTTACACTTTTGTGGTGTTTGTGTTTGGCTGTAATTTTCCGCTTTCTCATTTACTGTTCCCATACAAATTATATATTGTTTTTTCAGGACAAAAGGGGCTTTCTTTACATACCATTATTTATATAATCTCATGTATTTTAATTGAAAAAAAATACAAAAATCTGATGAAAAATTGAAAAAAAATACATGTTTTTTGACTTTTACTTGAAAAATCTTTTACTCATCTACAAAAGCGAATGAAAAAAACTGCTAAATAGATTAAAAATTTTGTCCTGAGTTTAAAAATACCTAGTGTTTACGTGCTTTTTTGCTTTTTTTTGCATGTTATAGGGCTATAGGTACAAGTAGGATATTGCGGTTTCAAAACATACATTTTTAAAATTTATCAATAGTGACATTGTAACACTATTATCTGTCATAAATCTCTGAATAACACCCCACATGTACATATTATTTTTAAAGTAGACAACCCAGGGTATTCAATATGGGGTATGTCCAGTCTTTTTTAGTAGCCACTTAGTCGAAAACACTGGCCAAAGTAAGCATTCATATTTGTTTGTGTGTGAAAAAAGTAAAAAAACTAAATTGAACGCTAATTTTGGCCAGTGTTTGTGACCAAGTGGTTACTAAAAAAGACTGGACATACCCCATTTGCAATACCTTGGGTTGTCTTCTTTTGCAAATGGTATGCCATCATGGGGGTAATTCTCATTCCTGGGCTACCATACGCTCTCAAAGGCAACGTAACCAACCTGGCCATTTTCAATGTAAAAATATTTGACCCATATATTTGACCTTGTAACTTTCAAAAATGCTATAAAACCTGTACATGGGGGGTACTGTTTTACTCGGGAGACATCGCTGAACACAAATATTAGTGTTTAAAAACTGGAAAACGTATCACAACAATTATATCATCAGTAAAAGTGCTGTTTGTGTGTGAAAAATGCAAAAAAAGTCACTTTCACTGACAATATCATCGCTGTGATATGTTTTACTGTTTTGAATCACTAATATTTGTGTTCAGCGAAGTCTCCCGAGTAAAACAGTACCCCCCATGTACAGGTTTTAGGGTGTCGTAGAACGTTACAGGGTAAAATACAGTGCTAGCAAATTAAATTCTCTGGAATTTCGGCCTGGGTTGGCAGGCAGGTCCCTCAAATTGCAATCAATAAAATTACTGAATTATGTAAAAATATTACATAAATACGCACGTAGAATTTAAATATATATGCATATTTATATAGTTTAAGTCTACGTGTATATTTATATAATTATGTAATTTTGTATATGGACATATGTATATTTCGTATTATTTTTATTTATATATACATAGATATATATATATACACAAATTCATTCTAAGTGTATTTTGATATAAATATATATATATTAATTTTAAAATACAGTTAGAATAAAATTTCATATAGATATAATTTTTTTCAAATTTTTATTATTATTTTAAAAAAATTATTTAATTTAAATTACTTATTATTTATATTTTATAATAATATATATATATATACACAATATATATATAGTTATTATATATTATATATATATATACACATGTGTAATTTAATTATAAGTGTATTTTTATATTAATATAAGTATATATTAATATAAAAATACACTTAGTATGACATTATATATATATATATATATGATATATAGACATATATTATATAGATATAATATATGTCTATATATCATATATACACATATATAATTAATATTATTTTTTTAATTAACACTAACTTTATTTTTTTTTTTGATTTTACACTAGCAGGGAGACTGCCTGTCAGCACAGACAGTCCCCCTGCAGGCAGACACATGGACACCTATTGTGACCATGTGATCGCTGTGTTGAGCGATCACATGGCCACAGGGGTCCTAATTCAGCGTGGGGAGACTGTCTGGGCTGCAGGCAGTCTCCCCACAACCGGAGCCACGCTGATCGCCGTCGGGGGAACGACGGCGATCAGGTAAGTAGCTCAGACCGTTAGGACGGTTCAGGACCGTCATCGGTCGGCAAGCCAAAAATGCCGATGACGGTCCTGAACCGTCCTCGGTCGGGAAGGGGTTAAGCTCCTGGTGTGTTGCACACAACCAAATGCAGATTTTATTTTCAACGGGAAACAGACAACAAAGCAACTAAGCCTTTCGTTACTTATGTCTTTCGTTCTTATTTAACAGGAACTCAAAATTATGTACATCAAGCATGTCAAACTCAAAGGCTAGCAAGGGCCACATAAACAAGGTTTAAGTTTATGTGGGCCGCAAAAAAAAAAAACCCTCTACTAAACCCCAGTCGTCGTCCCATCTACTAAATCCCAGTCCCACCCTTGTCTACTAAATCTTAGCCCCCCTCATCTACTATATCCCAGTCCCTCCCTCCCCCCCATCTACTAAACCCCTGCCCGTTTAAAAAACAGCCAACAAGCAGTGTCCGGAGTCCCGCCTCTGGCATACCCCCAATGGCCCCATCCGCACCTTAAAAAAGCAGATCCTCTCATTACTCCTTGAAACCCTCACATAGACTCACTGAGACACACTCACTGACAGACACATAGAATCACTCCGACACACACATACACTCACAGACACACACACAGCCATACACCTATACTCACAGACAGACACACACAGCCATAAACACAGTCATACACTTATACACACAGACAGCCAGACACATACACAGCCATACACACACATAGCCAGCCATACAAATACACAGCCATACATCTATACATACAGACAGCCATACACCTATACACACAGACAGCCACATTGCGACTCCAGTACCAGCATCATACTCCGGTTCCAAGATCAGCATCAATGAGGGGAGCTGAGCAGAGAGAGCTTATACTCAGCACTCCCACGCCACGGCCCGCATAAATATTAGTTATGGGCCGCATGCTGCCAGTGGGCCACGGGTTTGACATGGCTGATGTACATGGCATTAGTGTTTTGATCAATTCTGCAACTGCAACTTTGTATCAAAGAGGTCTCCATTGCACTGAGAAAGGCCATGCAGCTACAGGAAGTACTCTATTGTGGGAAGATGATGCAATGCATTTCTATAAAAATCAAATTAGTTTTCATGTATGATGCATTCAGAAGTGTGAATGTTTTATTTTTAAGAAATAATCTACTTGTCCAAGGGACTAAAGTGGCAGTCCAGTCTACTTGTCAATCATGACAATCTACTTGTCCTGACACAAAATCATTTCAATTACAAAGATTGGAGTCCCTGCTAAGAATCCTGGGTATTGACAGGACTGTGTGCTAATCTCTCAATTTTCACAAATTAAATCTGAATGGTAAAAAGGAGGCAAAAACAACTGGTCTGGTAAAATTCTCTAACTCTCAATTAGTCCCAACATTTGCCAGAGTTTTGCCATTTGGTTTCATTTTGTAAAAATTCTTAGTTTAGTGAATCACCCAAAGTGTCTCACCGTCTACTGGCTGTGTGTCATGTGTGTGCGGTGATACTGGCTGTGTGTCTGTATATAATGTGTGGAGTGTGCTGGCTGCATGTAAAGTGTGTGTGGTGTGTACTGGGTGGATGCAATTTACGTGTAAACGAACAACAACTTTCTGTCAAGCTCCCGTGGAACCAAAGTCCTCTGCAATATAAATTCCACAGCCCTGTGCATTCAAATTTAACAAAATATGTAGTACTCTCTTCTATTTATGGGATTATGCCTGGTCTGTTTTATTTAAACGTGTGTCAATAACATATCTAGTAACAGTAATGGTAGTATATTGAAAACTTAAAGGGACACTATAGTCACCTGAACAACTTTAGCTTAATGAAGCAGTTTTGGTGTATAGGACATGCCCCTGCAGCCTCACTGCTCAATCCTCTGCCATTTAGGAGTTAAATCCCTTTGTTTATGAACCCTAGTCACACCTCCCTGCATGTGACTTGCACAGCCCTCCATAAACACTTCCTGTAAAGAGAGCCCTATTTAGGCTTTCTTTATTGCAAGTTCTGTTTAATTAAGATTTTCTTATCCCCTGCTATGTTAATAGCTTGCTAGACCCTGCAAGAGCCTCCTGTATGTGATTAAAGTTCAATTTAGAGATTGAGATACAATTATTTAAGGTAAATTACATCTGTTTGAAAGTGAAACCAGTTTTTCATGCAGGCTCTGTCAATCATAGCCAGGGGAGGTGTGGCTAGGGCTGCATAAACAGAAACAAAGTGATTTCACTCCTAAATGACAAATGACAGTGAAATTGCAGGGGAATGATCTATACACTAAAACTGCTTTATTTAGCTAAAGTAATTTAGGTGATTATAGTGTTCCTTTAACAAATGGCAGGGAAAGGAGGAGGGAATTATCTCTTTGTAAGGAATGATTGCAAACCGAATAAATTAAATCATTATGAAGAATTGTGAAGGATACATGCAAAGTTGTGGGCCGGCATAGAGAACATAATGTAATATATTAAGGGCTATGCCCAGGCTGAGTACCAGGAGAATGACTGGGGGGGAGGGGGGAGGTAGTGGAGAGGAGGTATGACAAGACCACTGTAACATCAATCAAGGTAGAATAGGAAGAAGGGTAGTATTACTTCACGAGATTTGCTCAAAAAAAAAAATAGTGCTATGCCAAGGGTTTCAAATTTTTTAGAATTACTTAGGTGTCATGTATATATGGGCGGTCAGTCTATTATTATTAAAATTTGCCATTTATATAGCGCCAACTGATTCCGCAGCGCTTTACAATATTATGAGAGGGGGGATTTAACTATAAATAGGACAATTACAAAAAACTTACAGGAATGATAGGTTGAAGAGGACTGCTCAAACAAGCTTACAGTCTATCTACGTTTATAGCTTATTTAGTTCTTACTGTGAGGCCTGAATGGAGTAGAAAAAGTCAACTTCATCCATAAGGATGTCCTTTTAATGTAATTAGAGAGAGCTCTAACCAAATCCAGATTATGCCACCTAAACTCCCTTCCCGAAGTTGGAAGAGGGAACAATGCTGGAAGGATAACCTCTTAATTGATGTGGAGGGAAGAAATCACCATAGGTTTGAAATATGGAACTGTTCTGAGTATCACTCTCTCTTCCTGGAATTAAGTAATAGAGTTTCGCAGGAAAGGCTTAGATTTCAGAAACACTGCACCCAGAGAAAAGAGCCACCAGCAGGACCAGTTTCCAGGACAGAATGTTTATCAGAACCTTTTCCGGAGGGTCAAATGGGGGATCCACTACAGAAGCAATGGCAAATCATATGAGTGGATGAATGATTCTACAGGTCTGAGCTTGACAGAGAGCCCTTACTTACTCTCATGACAGCAGAAAGTGCATCAATGCATTTCTATGAGGAATATTCAGTGTCTCCATGCAGAGGGTGGAGACACAAGGTCAGTGCTGCACAATGTGCAACACTGATCCATTAAGCACCTCTAGTAGTCATCTGATGAGTGGCCATTTCTCTGAAAAGACAGTGTTTACTGCAAAAAGCCTGCATGGACTGACTATACTCACTAGAATACATTAAACTGTAGATATTCTGGTGACTATAGTGTCCCTTAGAGTGACAGGCTTTTTTAAATCCAGCTTGGGATGTCATGACAATATTCACTGTTGGACAGGAGAGGGAGATGTAATTTACCAAGACCCATTCCAAAAAAACATTCCAAGCTCTATTGTAAGCCAAAGATATAGATCTCTTCCTGGCATGAAGCTATTTGGACCCAACTTTGCAAATTCCAGGCCATCAGACGGAGACTTTGAGGACTCTCATGAATTATTGGGCCCTGAAATAGGAAATCTTTGCTGACAGGTAGTTCCAATAGAGGTTCTTGAGACAGAGGCAAAAGGATTGGAAGCCATGGTCTCTGAGGCCAACACAGAATTATGACAGAGGCCAACACAGAATTATGACAATCAGTTTTACTTTTTTTTCCTCTGTAGTCTCTTGAGAAGAGGAAATATTAGAGGAACTAGAGGAAAGACTTGAATAGACAAGGATAGCTCTCATGCCAGACTATTTAATTGAAGTAATAAATTGGTGTACCAAACTCAGAAATTGTGAATATTTACAAACTGTCCAGAAAAATACACAAAGGGTCCAGGCACACAAAATGTCCTCAAGTGTAGACTTTAATATAAGCAAACCGCCATGATGTTTCGCCCACTGACAGTGGTCTTTGTTAAGTTTTGTTAGTGAATGTTAGTAGACAAAACGTTGTCATGGCAGCTTACTTGTATTAAAGTCTCCACTTGAACAAAAAAACAGATAGGAAAACAGATAGGCACACAATGCTGTCTGCCGGGCATCAGTCATGATTATTTTCCAGGAATCTTCATTCAACGAATATCCATTAAAGATGTAATCCTACACTAACCACCATTGGAGAGCAAATTTCACCTGCTGGGAAACAGGAATCTCATGTTCTAGGCACTGTTTTTTGTAGTGATCCAGGAAGGATCTTTGAGGTATCCTCATGTTCCACTGAGCCCACCTGGTAAGGCGTATTTTGGATGAAAGAGAACCCAGGAGACTCACATGCTAGAGACAGAGATCCAACTGATCTTAAATTGGATGTGAAGACTCCTCTATTGAGAGGAACACTGTAGCTGTGGTCATGATTAACCTTGTTCTCAAGTGAACCAGCTCTTGAGTCATCATGAGATGACTCTTCTAGTGTTTTAATCCATTCATAATCTTTAAGAATCGTTAATGTCAAATGTCTGTGTTCCAGAATAGATTCTTTGTCGGAGAAGAATATTGTCCAGACCATGGAAGATGTTAATCCCTTGTGTACTGATCTTTGCCACCAGTTCTACCAGTACTTTGGGAAGGTGTGAGGAGCCATGCTAAACCTTAATGTCAAAGGAAGTGCTGATTCTCTATAAGCAAAGTCTGGAGTCAAGAGGTAAATGGGGTGGACAAGCAAGGCAACTGTGCGACAGGCTAAAAAACTGGGCGTGAATGGAAGTCAGGCTGTCTGCAATCATGCATCCCACTGAAGGCAGGGCGTTTAAAGATGCGTTTAAAGATACACGTTTAAAGATGCGCTCACTTTATACTTTTTTTGGACAGATTCCTGGTATCCACAAAAGGAGGAGTCAGGACAGGGGAACAGGGCTAGAAATTCAGGACTGTCCCGTCGAAATCTAGATGATTGGGAGGCATCTAAATCTAATCTATCGTTTAGGCATTTAAACTAATGCAGTAGAAATTGGCATCTATACTACAGCTCATTGATAAAATAAGAAACGTGAACGTGTGTCTCACTGAGATACCTCTCATTGGTTTATTACCAAAGACAGGCTGATAAGGGAGGGCTAGCAAAGGCTGCTGTTCTGAAAATTTTGCAAGCTGTTTTTTCATATAGCCAAAAACAAAAGCATGCATGTTTTCATTAGCTAAATGTGGACTGAACTGTTGATAAAAAATAAATTTGGAGCAAAAATAAATTTTCAAGTTGCAAACAATAGGTATGAACGTAAATAGATCCAGCCAATAAATCAGTCACATACCACTTTTACTACTTTACATCAAACAGTTTGTATACACAGCTCCCATGGCTTCTAGGTGACCCACAGGATTTCTAGGCACTTCAATATAAGGTAAAAATCTGGCATCCCTTTATGTACAGTAACTTATTTTACCACTTTCCCCATGGAACCCAGTGACCCCGGAACCTTTATCCCGTCCTACCCAGGAGTCTAAGCCGGTAAAATCACGGAATACACCGTAACTATTACACTGTAACCCCCCAGGACATCGTGGGACATTATACTGTGTGACACCTGGTGGCTATTTCTCTTGTATTACCTTCAGTCAGTGCGCTGCAAGGATGGGTTCCCCATTGGCGGGAAGGTATTGCTGCAGCACCGGAAGTTTACATTCTGGACCGGAAGTGCACCACCGGATAGGAAGAGGACAGTAGTCTGTGATGTGTTGTATGTATCAACATGTCCTAAGGCAGTAAAAGCAAAAATTGAGCGGTTTAATTTAGCACAGTGACAGACACGGGTTTAAAACATACATCAGTGAGACATCATTGTTTGACTGGAGAAAGTCCTGTAATGCCCTCGCACACTGGCAGCATACTGCAATGTGAATCACTGGCATCCCTTACACCATTTTAATCACTGGTAATTAAAACTGATTTTTAGGTAACAAAAAAAAAGCCAAAGTAGAAAAATGACCTATGCTTTTGGTTCGGCCATTATAATTGTTTTGCCTACAATTTGAAATTTGAGAAGATGTCTTGTGTATAACTCTATTTAAATTAAATCCGGAGTAATTCATACATTATTATCCTTAAAGGGACACTCCAGGCACCCAGACCACTTCGTCCCATTTGGAGTGGTCTGGGTGCCAACTCCCACTACCCTTAACCCTGCAGGTGTAATTATTGCAGTTTTTATAAACTGCAATATTTACCTTGAAGGGTTAAGTCCTCCCCTAGTGGCTATCTACTAGACAGCCACTAGAGGGCACTTCCTGGTCTGTAGCACAGGTTTGCTGTGCTAGAGCGTCGCTGGACGTCCTCACGATGTGTGAGGACCTCCAGCATCGCTCAATTCCCCATAGGAAAGCATTTTAATGCTTTCCTATGGAGAGCTCTAATGCACATGCGCGGCATTGCTGTGCATGTGCATTAGGTCTCCTAAGCCGGCAGGTGGGATCAGTCTCCCCTGCTGGCTGACGTGATGAAGGGTAGGAGCAGCGGCGACCCGAAACCATCGGCGGGGATCCCAGGTAAGTCACTGAAGGGGTTTTCTCCACAGGGTGGTGGGAGGCAGAGGGAACCTGCAGTGCCAGGAAACCGGATTGTTTTCCTGGAACTGAAGAGTCCCTTTATTAAGAGAGTTTTCACCACTGCAGCTATACTCCAGAAGATCAACGTTAATTGGACACTAGTCACCAGAACAACTACAGCTTAATGTTGTTGTTCTGGTATGTATAGGATCTGAATGCAGACTTTTTAATGTAAACACCGTCTTTTCAGAGACATTGCTGCCTAGGAACACCTCTAGGAGCAGTCACTCAGACGGTCACTGGTTTTTAGCGTGTTCTGAATGTTCCTTATAGAGATGCATTGATTCAGTGCATCTCTATGATGAGATACTAATTGGTGCATTGTTTTTCAATAGAAATAGCCTTCCAATGCATTCCTGTGGAAACTCATTGGATTAGCTGAGATCATCAAGAAAACATGGTACGTAATCTTTCCTTTTAAAGGAGCACTATCGTGCCAGGAAAACATTCTCGTTTTCATGGCACTATAGGGTCATTAGGTACCCCCCCAGCCTCATGGCCCCCCTTCTGCTGGGGTGAATGGGTTAAAACCCCTCAGCCACTTACCTTTCTCCAGCGCCAGGCTCCCTCTGTGCTGGGGAACTCTCCACCCCCTGCTGACGTCAGATCCAAATGAGCGGCAATAGCCGCGCGCGCATTCAAACAGCCCATATGAAAGCATTACTCAGTGCTTTCCTAAGGACGTCCAGCGTCTTCTCACTGTGATTTTTCATGGTGAGAATCGTGGAAGCGCCTCTAGCGGCCGTCAATGAGACAGCCACTAAAGGTTGGATTAACCCTCAGTGAAACATAGCAGTTTCTATGTAACTGCTATGTTTTAAGCTGCAGGGTTAAAACTAGCGGGACCTCAGCCGCAAGCATAAAAACATACCTAGCAGAGATCCCCTTGCCCACCCTAACAGACTCCCCAAAACAACTTCTTGCTTCCCCCATCACGGAAAACAAATAATGGAATGCATTGACTCCCTACCCAAAGGGAAGGCCCCGGGACCGGACGGGTACACAAATGAATATTACACAAAATGTAAACACCTTCTAACCCCCCACCTTACATCAACATTTAACCACACACTACAGACGGGAGCCTTCCCCTCGGAATTTCTGGCGGCTAGAGTGATAACCCTTCCAAAACCGGGTAATAACCCTTCCAAAACCGGGTAAGACACCGACACTTTGCCAGAACTTTCGTCCAATATCCCTATTGAACACGGACACTATTATTATAATAATAAAATATAATATATGGAGCTTATAGGCCTGTTTAGCTTGTGATAGTTTCAAGTTCCAAGATAACATGGAACGTTCTGTTTTTCATTGGATAACGTCTGTGTGGACCCTGATCTGATTGGCTACATTTCTTTCTACTCATGTCAGGTTAGTGTGATGGGTGATCAGGTGGCGCAATGCATTTCGGGAATTGTGGTCTTTAATTACGCCTATGCATGGAATGAGACCTCTTTTGAAACCACAAATCCTGTGAAACCCATCTGCATTTGGAGTAAGATAATTTCTCTACAAATCCTGTGAAACCAATGTGCATTTGGAGTAATATAATTTCTTGATTCAAAAATAGAAAATACACAGAGCTGAGAAATGAGTGGAGAAACGTGAGTATTATGCTGGAGTAGTTTGTAAATCTACTTTGATACATATGCTTAGATGTTCTACAATATAGTGATGCTATTATATTTCCAAAAAATTCTGAAGCTGTGTTCAAAATCGGAAGAGACTGCAAAACAAGATAAAACCTTATTAAATGTATTTTGTCCTAATTAGCCCTACTTGAATGCAATACGTTCAGTGACCCAATTGCATCTTATTATAATGAATGCTGCCTTCTAGCCATAACATTCATAATAATGAAACAATACAATTCTAAAAAGAAAAGGATTCAATCAGTGTTTATCAGACCAAACAATACACACACACATACAGATATAGTTATATATGTTTTTTTTTATATATATATATATATATATATAATACACACACACACACACACACTGGCCAAAATTATAAACGCAACACTTTTGTTTTTGCCCTCATTTTTCATGGGCTGAACGCAAAGATCTGAAACTTTTTCTATGTACACAAAAGACATTTTTCTCTCAAATATTGTTCACAAATCTGTCTAAATCTGTGTTAGTGAGCACTTCTCCTTTGCCGAGATAATCCATCCGCCTCACAGGTGTGGCATTTCAAGATACTGATTAGACAGCATGATTATTGCACAGGTGTCCCTTAGGCTGGCCACAATAAAAGGCCACTCTAAAATGTGCAGTTTTACTGTATTGGGGGGTCCGAAAGCCAGTCAGTATCTGGTGTGACGACCATTTGCCTTACTCAGTGCAACACATCTCCTTCGCATAGAGTTGATCAAGTTGTTGATTATGGCCTGTGGAATGTGGTCCACTCCTCTTTAATGGCTGTGCGAAGTTGCTGGATATTGGCAGGACCTGAAACATGCTGTCTTATACGCCGATCCAGAGCATCGTAAACATGTTCAATGGGTGACATGTACGGTGAGTATGCTGGCCATGCAAGAACTGGGATGTTTTCAGCTTCCAGGAATTGTGTACAGATCCTTGCAACATGGGGCTGTGCATTATCATGCTGCAACATGAGGTGATGGTCGTGGATGAATGGCAAAACAATGGGCCTCAGGATCTCGTCACGGTATCTCTGAGCATTCAAAATGCCATCAATAAAATGCACCTGTGTTCGTTGTCCATAACATACGCCTGCCCATACAATAACCCCACCACCACCATGGGCCACTCGATCCACAACGTTGACATCAGCAAACCGCTCACTAGGGATGTGCATGGACAAAAAAATTGGTTCGGTTCGGCAATTCCGAAATTCGGGACTTCAGCAATTTGGTTCAGTTCAGCACTTCTGAAATTTGTCAATTCCCTAACCCTACCCCTAACCT